GCGTTGAGCTTCTTCTGCGAGTTTATGTATCTCAAGGCTTCATGATCAGAGAATATCACAAATTCTTGTGGCAGCAAGTAATGTCTCCAGTATCTAAGGGACTGGATGACCGCATAAAATTCCTTGTCATAGGTTGAATATCTCTGACGGATGTCATTTAATTTCTCGCTAAAATACGCCACTGGGTGTCCTTCTTGAGATAAAACTCCACCAATACCGATTCCTGACGCGTCGCAGGTTACTTCAAATACTTTGGAAAAATCCGGGAGACGCATAACAGGGGCTTCCACCATTTTCGTCTTAATGTCCTCGAAGGCCTTAGTGACAGCTGATGTCCAATGAAATTCGCCTTTTTTAGGCAGTCAGTTATGGATGCCACGATAGTACTAAAATTCCTGATGAACCTCCTATAGAATGTGGCCAATCCATAAAAACTCTAAACATCTCGTATGGTTTTAGGCTCAGGCCACTCGTTGATCGCTCTAACTTTCTCGGGGTCGGCTGAGATACCTTGAGATGAGATTATAAATCCGAGAAAGGTGACGCTATCAGTAAGAAACACACACTTCTAAGGGTTCGCATATAACTGTTATTTCCTCAAAATCTCACATACTTGTTTCAAGTGTCCCAAATGTTGGTCTACAGATTTACTATAGATTAGGATATCATCAAAGTAGACGACTACGAATTTTCCGAGGAAGGGTCGTAGGACTTGGGTCATAATCCGCATGAAAGTGCTAGGAGCGTTACTAAGACCAAAAGGCATAATCATCCATTCATACAATCCGTCTTTTGTCTTGAAGGCCGTTTTCCATTCATCCCCCGGGCGGATCCTAATCTGATGATATCCGCTCTTAAGATCCACCTTAGAGAATAGCGTCGCCCCTGTCATCATGTCAAGCATGTCGTCTAGTCGGGGAATCGGAAAGCGATATTTAACGGTGATCTTGTTGATAGCACGGCTATCAACGCACATCCTCCAAGAGCCGTCTTTCTTTGGAGTTAGGAGGGCAGGAACTGCACATGGGCTAAGGCTTTCTTTAATAAATCCTCGTTGTAGAAGCTCATCTACTTGACTTTTTAGCTTAGCGTGCTCCGTTGGGTTCATCCGGTAGTGAGGGAGGTTAGGCAGGGATGCTCCAGGGACCAAGTCTATGACATGTTGGATGTCTCTGAGGGGAGGAAGTTGGTCAGGTAACTCCTCGGGGAAGACATCAGTGAATTTCTCTAGCAGGGGTTTTACTTCTTCATGGACTTGCCCTTCATGATCATCATCCACTTCCCTAGCTACCAGGGCGTAGATGGGTGACCTGTGGTGAAGCTCAATGTCCACTTCTTTCGCATAAGAAGTGTAAGCCCTTATTAGGCTTAGGGGGGATAACCTTAGTTTCACTCTTATCGGGTTGGGGCTGTGAGGGAATCAACTTAATCTTCTTTCCGTTGTGTTTGAACACGCAGGTGTTCGTCCTCCCATAAATGTGGACATCGTTGTCAAACAGCCAAGGGCGGCCAAGAATAATTTGACCCACATCCATTGTCAATACATCACACCAAATCTTCTCCTGATATCCATTAAACTCGAGCGGGATAAGGCTCCTATCTTTTATTTCCATGGAAGTCGAGTTAATCCAGGCGACCTTATACGGATTTGGATGTGGTGTGGACTTAATGTTGAGCTTAGAAATCATCGCTGAAGAGACAACGTTGATACAGCTTCCGCTATCGACAATAACCTTACAGTTCTTATCCCCGATCTTAGTAAAGGTGTGGAAAATGGTTGTTCTTCTCCAATCATCACTCGGTTTGGGTTGGGACAGTGCACATCTAACGACTTGCAGGGTGACAGATTCATCCTCCGTAAAAGAATCTTCCTCTTCATCCACATGGTGAACTAGGTCAGTCTCGGGTTCGTCCTCGTCATCATCAACCTCTTCTATTATGGTGACCTTATAGGGACTGGAACATTGCGAGGCAATGTGCCCATACACATGACACCTATAACATTTGGTTCCAGAATTGGGTTTCGGGGTGTCTCTTTCAGGTTCTTTACCCTTAAGGTCGGGACGATGAGGGGCTGAACTAGCAGTGGGTCGGTTACCGGTCGAGTTTGGGGGTCGGCTTTGAGGCTGGCTGGTGGAAGAGCGATACGGGTTGGGTCGGGAGTCGAACTGCCTAGTGTGGGAATGAGTTTTGGACTCCTCTAGGTCAAGTACCAGGCTGCAAGCGGCCTCTAGTGTGTCTATTCCCCTAGCAAACAGTTCAGTACGAAGATCTTCCCGAAGGCCAGCTCTAAACATAGACAGGATCTGTGTTGGGGTAGCAGATTCCTCGCCGTTGCAACGAATCAGGAAATCGTCGAAGGCGGAGATGTAATCTTTAACTGGTTTGCTCCCCTGAGTTAGCCGATTCCACTTATCCAGAAGCTTAGGGTAGTAGGACGGTGGTAGGTATTTCCTCCTAAGTTCTTGCTTCATGGTTCTCCAATCACTTATCGGGTGTTCTCCTCGAGATTCACGCATGTTCTCCAGATTGGTCCAGTAAAGGTTGGCTCGACCCGTGAGCTTCATTTCAGCGAACCTGACTTTCTTTGCTTCTGAGATGTTGTACCACTTAAAGTAGCTATCCATCGACTTGAGCCAATCGAGGAAAACTTGAGGGTCAAGGGTCCCGTCGTACGTTGGGGCATCAATCCTAATGTTTTTCAATAATTGAGCGTCGTTGTCTCTCCACGTGTTGTCGTCTCCTATAGGTTCTTGATGTGGCCTTGGGTTGCGTTGGTAATGGTCTTGAAAACGTACGGGATCTCGCGGGTGTTCGTGATCGGGACGGTTGTCTTCGCCATAAGGTGAGTGAGGATTCCCGAGGGAGTATAAATCGCAGGTCGATATTATCCAATCGGTCACTCGTGTGGCGCCTAAAGTCAGCTAGATCGGTTTGGGTGTTGCGGATTTGCTGAGTAACGGTGCCCAATTGTCCCAAAATAAGGTCCAGGGTAGCTTGGAGATGCTGCGGGTTCATGGGGAAAGTTTAGAATTTTCCCCGAGGAAGAGTTGGGTAGGCGGGCAGCAAGTATAAGCAAAGGGAGGAGGTCCCTA